CAAAAACCACAGAAACTTGACATTTTCATTGGACATCAAGAAAGGATAGAGGAGCAGCTATACGAAAAATCAGGCTTCAAGCTCTAACAATGTTGAGTGCAGAGCAGAAAAACTGCCTGGGGGCACCCCCCCCCCCAACATGTGCAGGCGAGGGCTAAAGAAGCGTTTAAGTACAAGTACAAAACAAGGTAGCATCTTTTCTGGCATTGTCCCAGAACTCACTCCAGAAGTCATAATAGCCGTTTTCACGACGGCCATCTGGTACACATTTGGTTCACATATGGTGCAGATTAGGTGCAGATTTGGTCCAATTAGGTTCAGTGTAGCCGTTTCACGACAGGCTATCCGGCGAGTGCACCTAATTTGACCAAATCTGCACCTAATCTCTTTTACAACAAATATCTTTAATGTATGAATTTATTTCAGTTTTATTTCAGTTTTAATCGATGATGCTCTCTGATAATATGACAAAGCAGGCATATAAGCAATTAGTGCAACTATAGCTGATAGCTACTAAGAGACACACGGAACCTAATTTAACCAAATCTGCACCTAATCTGCACAAAATGTGCACCAAATGTGTAGGTACCGGATGGCCGTCGTGAAAACAGCTTGTGTCTCTTAGTAGCTATCAGCTAGGATTGTACTAATTGCTTATATGCCTGCTTTGTCGTATTATCAGAGAGCATCATCGGTTAAAACACTGGAATAAATTCATAAAATAAAGATATTTGCTGTAAAAGAGATTAGGTGCAGATTTGGTCAAACTAGGTGCACTCGCCGGCTAGCCCGTCGTGAAAACGGCTATTACTGATGATGTTATTATCAAACATGTTAAGTATCGTCATCTTGACCGATATTAACAAGAAACCGGTTTAAAATTACCCCCTTGATTAGTCCCATCCCGTTATCCGCCGCCCCCGTTGTCAGGTCAGGGGTCCGTGATGTAAGTACTACCGCCGGTTCTAGCGAACCCCCTCTCGTCAGCCTTCTACACGGCAGGCCGTCACTGACGGCGGCACGCGGCACTGCCATCAGCGGCACAGCGTGGCCAGCTAATGACTGGAGCTGTGACGACGGGCCGCGCCGCCAAGGTCAGGCCGGCGAGGCGCAGGGGTCGGCCCCCTGACCTGATGGGCCGCCGGCACGCCAGGGGGGCTGGGCGCTGGGCGGCGGCGCTCGCACGCCCTCGCCGTGGTGACTGGGAGGAACGGCACCGGGCGGGGGCGGAGCCTGAGATTCGCAACACGGCGCCCCGTATAAAGGGCAGAGCCCCGCTCATGGTGTCAGTTCAGTGCGATTTGTCGACACAGAGCCACCAGCCACCCTCTCCGACAGCCATGAAGCTGGTGAGTGAGCTTTGAAGCTGACGGTGCATCTGCCGGGCTGCCGAGGCAGTGTCAACAAAGATCGGTCGTACGAGAAGATCGTCTGGTGCAGTGCTTGAAAGACCGATGAAAGATTGGCTTTGCAGTAACGTTTCGGCTTCCGGCTTTTCAGAAAGTTGCTGACGTTCAGCACTTCACAATATTGCAAGGAAACTAAGCTGGCATTTATTAAGTCATGCACCATTATTGTTCCGTGTTTCTTCAAAAGCCAAATTAATTTTTCAACTCCACCATTCTGTTCCAGATCATCGTTGCCTGCCTTGTGGCTGTGGCCGCGGCCGCTCCCCAAACAAACTACCAGCCCGAGCAGTACTCGGGAAACCCCCAGCCGCAGATCAACATTCTTAGCCAGAGCTTCGAGCAGGACCCCAACACCGGCAACTACCAATACAGCTACGAACAGGACAACGGACAGGCCGTAAGTAATATCGCTGCTCAAAAGTACCAAAATATGTTAACTTCATAGTTGTGAAACCGTATTTTCTTAGTGCTGTCGAAGGATATCATCAGAACTTGCGCGTCTGTAACCGCTGATGGGTGCAGATGTCAGCGCACGTCACCAAAACGATCATTATAAATAGCGACAACTCGAATAACCTGGACTGTCTGTGCGCCATCAGGTTGCCGAGCAGGGAACCGTGTACCCAGGCCCCGAGCCGGAGACGGGCAGCATCACCCAGGAGGGCAACTTCCAGTTCGTGGCCGACGACGGCAACACCTACCAGATCTCGTACGTGGCCAACGAGGGTGGCTTCCAGCCGCGAGGTGCCCACCTGCCCGTGGCACCGGCTCAGATTCCCGAGTATGCCCAGCTGCGTCAGGAGCACCCTGAGCTCTTCTGGGCCGAGGGACAGCAGCCGCAGCAGCCTACCTATGTCTGAAAACGCAAGAAAAATCCTGCTTTATCGTGAATGTTGATGCCTGTATTACTATCCTTGAACAGTGTCATTGTAAAATGTCATCCGAGTCAGCAAACGCTTTATTAGTGGTTGTCAGTGTCACAGCCTTTGTTACTATATGTGCTATACCTGCAAAACGACCAGACAAATATATGTGAATAAGTAAACAAGATGTTTGCCGTGAACATCCAAAACAGCAACAAGAAGAGAAATGATGTCAAAATGATGCAGTTGATGATAAACCGCACTTATGGCTCCTACGGACACCTAACCGCTAGAAGGCAAAATATTTATGTAATATCGAAGTGGCAAAATATCGAAAGATAAAATATCGAACGACAAAGTACCGAAAGAGAAAATATGGGAAAGACAAATATCCTAAGACAAAATATGGAGAAAAGACAACATGGAACGCAACATATCGAAAAGAATTATCGAACGACATAAGATCGACAGACAAAATATTGAAAACATAAAAAACATGGAAAGACTATCGAAACCTATCGAAAGACCTATCGAAAGCAAAATATCAAAGCAAAATATCTAACAAAGAATGTACAAAGAGAAAACATCAAACAAGGCGGCGAGTACTTTAATTACACCTTTTTATTTTTTCTGCACATAGGTACTGAGTAAATTTCAGACCTAGTTCTTCAACACTTTTTCCAGAAATCACATGATGTCATTGAACTTTTCGCCGATATAAGATATGTGCGATTCAAATGCGCCGATCTTTTGAAAACGGTGGAAACAGGTGAAACTCAACGATAGCCTTTGGCGTGACATGACCTTTGACATGACCCAAAAAATGACTGAGGTAATTGCCGCATGGTTTTGCTAATTTCGTCTTTCCGATATTTTGTGCTCCATATTTTGCCATTTCGATATTTTGCTTTCGACAGTTTGAATTCACTATTTTGCGATTCGATCTTTTGCGTTTCGATATTTTCTCGTGAACTCGCTGTAGTTCGTCTTTGGTGACCTGACCTTGACTTGACCTTGACCTTTGCATGATATTTTGACCCGGCACCGCCTGGGCTATTTCCGTACCCACGACAGCCTGGGGGGTCGGATCCGACCCCCTCTGTTATCTCGAGAACCAATGGTCGTATCGAGCCCCGGGCGAGGCGGCGTTCGAAAGGTCTCTACGAGACCTTCCCAAAGCACTCTTAAGATTTTAAAATTGAGGTCAACTTTCGGGTCAAGGTCAGGTCAAAGGTCAAATTCTGGGGTTTTGCATGATTAGGCTTACGGACAGCGGAATCGATAGCTGCTGCCCGAAACTCACCAAAAATGACCACCTCAAAGACCTAGTGAAGGTACCATGTGCGTATAGGGGTCATGATAAGTACGGGTCAAGGTCAGGCCAGGTCACGAAAGGTCACGGTTTTCACTTTCTGCTACATGGGCGTGCGACACATGTTTTATGGCTTATTTTTCACGTCGAATCCGATGATAATGGATATATGTGACCCCAAGTCACTATGCTGGTGATAAGTGTGCATTGACAGCATAACAAATCGTTTATACCATATATAACTAAACGAGGGCTAAGAAAAAAGTCAATTTTTCACCTTTTTATTTTTGACATAAAAATACATTTTTCTACATAGACGTGCTTTGTCCCAGGAATCTAGTGGTGCCATTTGTTTTCACATGAGATGTTCAGAAATGCCTCTAATTCACGAAAATGCTTATGACGTCACCATGCCGTATGCATGTTAGAGCTATTTTTACAACTTCAGGGTCAAAAATCAAGATAGAAAGTTGAAATTTCGGACATCAAATGTTCTAATAGAGCTCTATAACATATATTCCGGTTTTTAGAAATTCTCAAAGTTTTGGATTTAATTAGCTGTTTTCCAACAAAAAAAAATAATTTTTAGGGGTACAAAAACGCATTTTATGGAAGATCCGAGATAAAGAACTCGTTCAGCTGCGTCTATTCATGTCCCTAATTTACAGTTTGCTTTAAACCTTGATTTTTGGCGATTTTTTAAACATTTACCACTTTTTGACTGAAAAAGCCATGTAGTTACATCATTAAAATCGATATATCTCAAAAGTTAAATTCTTAAAAATTACACAGGAGACGTCAAATTGATGGGGGAGAAGGTATGCCAAGTTTCAAATTGATAGTGTAAGCGGTTCATGAGTTATTCAAGAAAAACGGAGGGGGGTCGGATCCGACCCCCACCCCAGGCGGTCGCGGGTTAACCGCAGGTTGTTTGAAATAGAAATATGCAATGCATCTTGTCTTCGCAGCCTAAAAACGAGTTTTGGGTTATCAATTTCAGTCCATTCTTCGGGCTCCAAATATATGTAGAATGTAAAAACACTGCAGTTTTACCCTTGACCACCTGGCCTTGACCTGACCGATGGCCTACTTGGGCATAACAAAAAGAATTGTGCTCCAATAGTGTTGTGTTGTCCAATAGTGAATAGTGTTGAGAACTTTTGATTGCCGTTTTCCCCCTTTCTACAACCAACCGTTCGATAGTGAGACAGAGGGTAGAATCTACCCCTCCCCCCCCCCCACCCGCGGGGCGCAACGGCTGAATAGCTCGGCGAGGCGCAGGTTAAATGCTTGCTGAGCCCCCAGTATACCTACCTTTGATTAGCGCGCAGTGGACATCCTTGTTCAGACCGCTGGTCACAAGCCCACGCGCATCCGTCACATCTATCAATGTCGCTGAGACGATTTGTCTAAACTGCGGCGGCCGAGTGGCACGCACCCCGAGCTTGGGCAATATAAACCAGATTGGAGAGAGACCAAACCGTCAGTCTCAAAGTGTACCAGCTCCGCCGTGGTCTCCACATCATCAGCATGCAAACTGTAAGTGTTTTCAAGCGAAGAGCTACATAAGCATATTTCTTTTCTTTCTTCTAATTTAAGCTCAACATACAGCACTTCATGATTCCAAACAGTCGATCGTTGTGTGGTGTTTACAACTGATATGAGCCAAGTTGTCTGAGCCTTGCATTAGAAAGATATTCGTGAGCTCGACCGTAGTCCTACCTACCAGTAAAACGCCTTTTGGGCGAAGAACGAGCGAGCGAGATAGTGAGCCCTGCACGTGTGGAAGGGCGAGAGGGTACTTCCAACGAGCTTGTGCAAAGCACCCTTCTAACCAGTCGCTAGCGGTGTGCCAAATTTGAACGCAATCGGCCCAGCCGTTCCTGAGATCTGGAAGCGGCATTCTGCACGTGCGCACGTGCAAACGGGGTCCAAAATGACTTTTGCACGGCACCCTACTAACCGGTCCCCAACCGTGTACCAAATTTGAGCACAATCGGCCCAGCCGTTCTCGAGATCTGGAAACGCCCCCTGCACGTGCGCACGTGCAGTAACACCCTAACCGCAACACATGGGAATGAATTGCCTGGTGGGTGCCTACCTGTATGCCAAATTTCAGCGAAATCGCCCCAGTAATTACCGAGTTACTGAAATGGGAACAAATTTGGCACCTCTTCTTTTTGTATTTTGCACTCACACTTGCACTCACATAGATCAAGAGTATCCGACCTTTGGTAGAAGGGATGCAGCTACCCTATAAAAATTACCGCAAGACAATCGCTCAAGCCGCTGCTGAGATATGGGCCTCTCAAAATCACTACTTTTGCAAAAGTTCTTGAACACCCTTGACTTTTCACGTGGCACGTGCCACGACGGTCACTGAGATGTATCAAAGGTAGTCAATTACGGGGTAGAAGGGATGGGGCTACCCAGCAGAAAAGACCGCAGGCTAATCGGTCCAGCGGTTGCTGAGATATAAGCCTCTCAAAAGCGTCGCAGGCCGGGCCGGGCCGGGCCGGGCCGGGCCGCTCATACTGATATTTTTCCGTTATATTGAAAAGATGCTGATTATTTAGGGACATATTTGAGTTATGAGGTTATCGGTGGAGCCAACAAATAAGTCAAAGTAAGTGCATTTAGTTATTTGTTGGCTCCACCGATAACCTCATAACACAAATATTGAAAAGACTTCGCTTCGCTCGCTGCGCTCGCTCGCTCGTAACAAGACTTGACCCAGGGCTCAGAAATCAGGACTTGTATTGTTGACGTAGATTAGAAATACGCATCTAATCAGAGTGCTCCATGTTTCAGCTCATCGTCGCTTCTTTGGTGGTCGCGGCCACGGCCGTTCCCCAGAACTATCAAACCAGCCAGTTCTCTGCCATTCCCCGGTCACAAATCGACCTGCTCCGCCGGGAATCTGATCAGGATCCTTACCGCGGCATCTACAGGCACATCTACGAACAGAACAATGGACAAATTGTGAGTATTAGCGTATCAGACAGCGGTGCACAGAACTACGTCTTGGTGATGCTTCTGACCGCATTTGCCCTGTTCCGGGTCTTATCTCTGACGTAGTGGAGACCGAGGCAAAGCGGCCATCCGGGGCAAAGTGGACACCCAACGTTTTAGCCATTCACAACATGGCGTCAACTCCAGTTTATGGTTGTCAGTTAATAGTGCGGTCGTTCAAATGAGCCAAACGGGTGTTTCCTACCCGTTACCATTGCTCCGTGACACACGGAAACGCATTTCTTCTCAGGATAGTACCTACTACCTATTCTTACTCTTTTTAAACGTTATTGTATTCAGCAATCGTTTGGAAGTTTATTTAGACGTTTTGATTCATGCATTGTGTGGTTATAGTACATTCTCCCTACCTCTGCCAATTTCCATGCGTTTTGCCCGATAAATAACATAGCTGGAAGAAGTATAATGATGAAAGAAAACCGATGCCTCATAATAACAAATATATTCTAAATTATGACCAAAAATAAAAATATACTTTCTGCATCTCCTTATTGATTATAAGACCCCAGTAAACATGCCGACGTCGGCCCGACGTCGGCCGACGTCGGGGTGACGTCGGCAACTCGGCATCGGCATGCCGACGTCGGCCCGACGTCGGTCCAACCTCGGCACGACGTCGGCTGGATGTCGGATATGCCCGCATGTTCCGACGTCCAGCCGAGGTCCAGCCGACGTCGGGCCGACGTCGGACCGAGATCAATTGCTGAGGTCTAGCCGACGTCGGGCCGACGTCGGGGCGACGTCGGTCCGACATCGGCCGCTGTTTTGACCGTTAAAATAATACAAAATACATGTTTCATGTTTCATAAAGAGCTTCTGTATTTAAAATATCCTCACGAAACTCAAATCTTCCTCCACGCCGCAACCCCCTGATCCGGACTGGACGGGAAACTTTATCCCATTTGGGATTGCCCGTAAGCCGAGCTCGCCCGTAGCCGGGTGCGGTGAGTGCTTGGGGGCTGCTCGGCCTATCCTTTGGTCAGGCTCAGCCCCGGCAACTCACCAGGGCCGGGCCCAGTTCATATAGAAAGGCCAGTCGGCAAGTGTCACTTTGCCAAAGTGCCACTTATCAAAGGGACACTTTGGGCAACGTTGGTGCAGGTGTGTAAGAGTGGCTATATGGATCCATTGTGGGGTCGCCCTTTCCAATAAGTGTCACGTAACAGCAATGGGACCAGGGACTCTATATGAACTGGACCCAGGGTGCTCGCCAAGAAGACCAATGTCTCCATCCTATGACCCTTCCGGCTCTGAAATGGTCTTGTCAGACCGAAGGGGCATAACCCAACAAAACAAACCCAATTCGTTAGCTGGCTGCGTGGTGTAGTGGTTAGCGCACTAACCATGCGTTCGAATGACACGGGGTTCGAATCCCATCGCCGGCTGATGCTTTTGGCGTGTTGTCCCAGTAAACATGCCGACGTCGGCGACTGGGGGGCTCGAATCCCGCCGCCGGATGATATTTTTGGCGCGTTGTCCCAATAAACATGCCGACGTCGGCCCCGTCGGTCCAACGACAAACGATCTCGTCAACCTCGGCAAACGATCTCGGCCCGACGTCGGCTCGACGTCGGCTGGACTTCGGGTGGACGTCGGAACATGCGGACATATCCGACGTCCAGCCGATGTCGGGCCGAGGTTGAACCGACGTTGGGCCGACGTCGGACCGAGCCTCGGCCCGACGTCGGGCCGACGTCGTCATGTTTACTGGGACATCTATTATTAATATCTGTTAAAGAGATATCTCTTTATTTTCGGTCACAATTTAGAATATATTTGTTATTATGAGGCTTCGGTATTCTTTCATAATTATCATGAGTCTCGCACAAGCGCTTTCTCATATTATGGCTGGAAGATATTTTTCTCGGACTGTATGCGCGGGGCAGGGTGGACGGGCAGAGTGGACAGCTCCCAATTCCATAAAATGTCTACCGGGCAGCAAGCGCTATTGACGTTCAAATGTATCGCCATGCATCCATGGCCATGCGTTTATCTAGGTCATTTTTCGGTTGCATGAGTTACAAAAAAAAATCAATGTTTCCATGAATGTTCTTGCACTGTTTATCTTCAGGTGAGAAGATGACAAAATAAACATCCATCTGTCAACATCAAAAACTCTAGTCGTAGGTACTTACATGAGGCAACTATCCTGTTTCCCATATCGGGGAAAAAGTCGCCAGTGTCCACTTTGCCCAAGGGTTGGGGCACTTTGCCCTAGGTGAATCTTCAATGTTTAAAATTGAAGCGTGGGCACCGAAGAAAAAGGTTGAGGATGTCCACTTTGCACCTGTCTCCCCTAATATTTAATTAATCTTGAAAATGTGCACTTTTCCTGCCTCCAGGTGGCCGAAGACATTGAGACATACCCGGGTCCAGAGCCGGAGACGGGCAGCATCATCCAGCGGGGCAGCTTCCAGTTTGTCGGTGACGACGGCAACACCTACCAGATCTCGTACGTGGCCAACGAGGGTGGTTTCCAGCCGCGAGGTGCCCACCTGCCCGTGGCGCCGGCTCAGATTCCCGAGTATGCCCAGCTGCGTCAGGAGCACCCGGAGCTCTTCTGGGCCGAGGGACAGCAGCCGCAGCAGCCCACCTACGTCTAATGGCGCAAAACATTTGACTGAAGAAATATATTCTGATGAGGATGTTCGTCATTCGATTACTTTCTTTACGGAGGATCTCACACAAATGGAACATTGTTTAGTGTTTACCAATGGTTAGTGGTCGAAGGATTTTTGATAGGATCATATAAGCAGCATGAACGACTATGGAAACGATGATAAATTGTTTCTGCATTAAAAGTTGTCATGATGCACGTCTCAATAACCCACCCTTAACGAAAATATAAAGGCCTCTATTCCTCACCTTTCATCACTGCATTAATTAAAGCTGCTTTTACTTTTATTTTCAGCAATAAGATTGTGTGTTTTCGGTCGGTGACACCACTTTCGCAGCGACAAAAAGTTACATTATTATAACTAGCGAGAGCGAAGCAAGAAAAGCTGGTAAGCTGGTATATTAATTCGCAAGTTTGTGAAGAAAAACATGTCGAAATGGGAAATAATTCACCAAAAATGCTACCTTAACCCTCGCCTGGCCGGGCATTTTTTATAACGTGGCCTGGCAGGGGAGGGGTCAATGCGACCCCCCCCCCCCTCGCGATTGGCTCCTATGGCACCTAGAAACACCAAATTTGGTAGATAGGTGCCCTCCCCCGGGAAATCTCGCCCCTACGTAAAGATGGCTGTTCTAGGTCAGTATTTAGGGGGCTTCGGGGATGGGTTTAACCTCGTACCGGTTTTTCTGACCTAGTGACCTGACCCAAGGTCACCAGGATCTGAAGTTTTCAGGTCATATGTAAAAAGGTTGCTCCATAGGCTGTGCCAGATTTGGCGGCGCTGCGCGCCGCCTTTGAAGCGCCACCGTTTTTATGCTATCTTTGAAAAACCTTAGGCGGGTCGCATCGACCCCCCCCCCCCCTTACAGGGCGAGGTTTAAATGACATCCAGTGACCTCACCGTTCAGCTGAATGAAAAATGTACTTCGTAAGTCGAAAATTACCTAAAAATTGTCAGAGAAATCAGGATTATTCAATAGAACAACACGCGATTCAAACGAATAGTGTTAAAACCCGCGCCCGGACGGGGGTCTTGGCCATCTTCGCCAGGATGGGGAGGAGGTGTATTTGGGCACATCCGGTCATCTGAGAAACTAAGAACGTTATGAAGACGCAAAAAGCAATAGATAGCTCGCTATAAGGTCTTTTTTGATTATGAAGGCCATTGCTTGATTAGATAATCTCTAAGGTCAATGTAAACGAACAATATTCTTCAATTTGATATTTTTACAAGACGCCGCATATCTCGGATACAAACAGAGCTAGAGCACCACGAGAAAGCTAATTAGCTAGCTCTTTTGGGGCTTTGTCTGGATAACGCTCTACGATTTGACGTAGAGTCAACGGTTTAGGAAAATAACTCATAAAATTGACGTTTTTGTGAAGAGCGTTTTCCTGCAACAACAATTAACACTAAGCTTGTTTTACGTAGATTTTACCAGCATAAAGTGTTTCTCGTTCAGACGCGTCGAGTGAACTACACACTGAGCAATGAAGGTCAACTTCAAAATTTGACCTCAGGTCAATGTCACGGAAAAGGTCATGTTGCATATCAGTTGATTTGTAAATTGCATCAGTGAGCTGAACGCATTTAAGGTGCTATCATCGCTATAGTATGATTTATATTTTATGTCTTTGTCAAAAAAAAAAACTGACGGAGACCTTTCATGACCTAAGATGACCTCAGGGTCATTAAGAGGAGTCACAAACTCACAAGTGTAATTTTCCTATTCAGTATGTCGTTTTTATCAGTATCCCGATGATGGGAATGGTAAAGTATGTCTTTTGTCCAACAGAAGAGGGGTTCAATTTTCTCCCATTGACTTTGAAATGGAGAGGTCGCAAAACTGAACAGCCTTAGGTCATCGATATCAAAATTCCTAGAAAACAAAAATCGTTGGCACTGATTTCCTCATGCAATAGGACATCTTCATTTTTAAAGGAATCAAGACGTAGGTAACAAAAAAAGGTTATACGTGATTTTACTTTGTCCTTCAAATGGCTATCTCGGTTTTTCGAAAATTTTGGATTGTGGCCCATTTTTTTCTAAAAAAAACTGACTTTTTTGGAAAAATAATTATAAAATCCAAAATTTTGAGTGTACCGAAAAAAAACTGAATATATGTCAGAGAGGTTATCTATATGTACCTACATACCAATTTTTAGAAAAATCAATTACAAAATGTGGGAGTTATTCAAAATTTTATGACGTCATGACACACAATTTTTTTTTGAAAATGATTTTTTGGAAGTTCTAGACCTCGTACGGAAACAAAAATAGCACCATTCGATTCGCCGTGAAAAACTGCATCAGATAGACACCTGTTAAGGCCTTAACAACCCACTTCAAAATTTGACCTCACTTGACCTGACCTTGACCTGACCTCGACCTGAAATTCATCCAGAGGTGGTCTATATCACTTATTGAGTTTGCTTATTGAATTCTATGAATAAAATGACCCATAAAACATGTGTCGCACATGCCCTTTTTTATATTTTGTTTTTGGTGATCTGACCTGACCTAACCTGACCTTGACCTTCACCTTTGAAGTTTGAATGATATTTTATGCAACGAATATTGTCTTGGTAGCCTAAGAACACGTTTTGGGTAGTCAGTCTCCGTCCATTTTTTGGCAACTACGGTGCAAGGCCGATACTGTAGAAACTTGCATTTTGTACCCTTGACCTGACCTTGACCTGACCACTGACCTACTTGAGCAAAAAAATTTGGGCTCTTAAGATCCGCCTTGTTGAGAGCTTTCGATTGCCGTTTTCCCCGTCTTTCTACGACCATCGGTTCGGAAGTTAGAAAGGGGGACAGAATCTGCCCCCTCCCCCCCAGCAGGGCGCGTATGACTGAATAGCCCAGCGGGGCGCGGGTTAATGTATTACAAAGTATAACAGGTTTTGGCCGCTAAGTGTCACGGTTTCCTCTTCACAAAAAAGCGAATGTGGCCAAAAACACAAATCTGGGCAAGGGTTGACTATTGAACGCAAACTTTCGGTTATTGAGGGCTATCAAAGCTTTGTTTGGCGTCTTTCTACCTTTCTGAATTTTTAACATAATTTGGTCTGGCCCCCTGCACCTATCATGGCGAAGTTGGCTGAGACTCACACCCGAGAACGGGTTAACTGCTTGTTAACAGCTCTATCAAGTGGGAGTTCAAAGTTTCAAGACGTCTTATGAAACGGAATAGGCCATCTGCCTGAAATATTAAAAATCCTGAACAATCAGAGTTTAACTGGGTCCTCAAATTTAAGCGGCTTGACAATGATATTCGTGTTACGTTTTTTTTAGGGGGGGGGAGAAGCAAGACATTTCGGCCTAAAAAGACCATTGCAGGGATATGGGATGTTAGGATAGGGCGTAAACGTAGGGCTGTGCGGGACACCGGCAATGACCCGCGGAGGTGAGACCGTCCTGGTGGGACCGGATTGCCCCATTGGAACAGTTTGCCCGCCCCCTAGTCACCCCGGAGAGGATTGTGTGGACCTGAACTAATCAGCCGCGGTGGTCAGGTGACGTGGCCGCCAGCCCGGAAAGGGAGCGTGAGCGGATGCAGATGGATTTGTCCTGAGGAAAGCGAGGACAGGTGTTATGTTGGACTCAAAAATCAAGTTAAACCCTCTAAAATTAGTATATTGTATTTTCAAAGCCGCAGGCGTCTTAGTACGAGATACGAAGTGAATAACGCTAACGGGGCACGAAAGACAAATTTATGTCAGCACTATCATTATTTATATCAAAGGTACAGCACATTACCGAATCTTGCGTAATATACGATTTTTTATAACAATAACACGTCAAATATATATTTAAGCACACAAAGCTTTCGGTATGAAAATATATTGATCACTGTGTTAAATAGTGATCACAATGTTTGACACAGTAATCAAGGTATTTTCATACCGAAGGCTTTGTGTGTTTAAATATACATTTTGACGTGTTATTGCTATCATTTATCCTAAGTGTCTTCGATATTCTACATACGAATTTTTCCCTCCACGCAGGCGACATTGGCAACGACTGACACCGGTCGGACGTCCATTCAGCGAGTCTGTGACCCTGGCCGATAGATGGCACTGCTGCAGCCTCGGCCGTATAAAGCCGGTGGAGCTATCCAACAGACACTCACAACATAGTCAGCCACCTCAAACAATCAGCAGAAATGAACACTGTAAGTCGAAACGAGGAGTAGACTATTCTGGAGTAATTCATATTGGTCTTTGTTCTATGACCGTTTATGTAAGCATCAACACTGAAGCTTGTTTAACTACTTCTGGTCATTTTAGGGTGTGTAAAACCCAAAATAATTCACTAGTATTCCGTACCCACGATAATACCTTGTCTTTTCCAGATTATCGTTGCTTGCCTTGTGGCTGTGGCCGCGGCCGTTCCCCAAATAAGCTACCAGCCCAACCAGTACTCGGGTAGCCCCCAGCCGCTGATCAATATTCTTAGCCAGAGCTTCGAGCAGGACCCCAACACCGGCAACTACAAATACAGCTATCAGCAGGACAACGGACAGGCCGTAAGTAAAACTGCCAGTGCCTTATATATGCATTGTTAGGAACAAGCAATACGCAAAGTGAGGAATACGGCAGAATTATATCCTTTCTCGAGCAGAGCTTTACAATAGCAATGAGTCATAAGTGTTAAGAAAGCAGTGCATTTGTATAGCGAAATTCCAGAAATATTTGAAAAAAGTAGTATAATAAGCAAGATAAGACCAAACAAGATCATCCAAAATGAGCAAAGCGCAACCTGCGTTCGGACAAAATGGCAAATAAACAGTGGAGAGGCCTATGCTTTCCCAAACTCTTTTAGTAACTTCGTACGTCTTTTTTTCAGGTCGCCGAGGAGGGCAGCGTGTACCCGGGCCCGCAGCCGGAGACGGGCAGCATCACCCAGCAGGGCAACTTCCAGTTTGTCGGTGACGACGGCAACACCTACCAGATCTCGTACGTGGCCAGCGAGGGTGGTTTCCAGCCGCGAGGTGCCCACCTGCCCGTGGCGCCGGCTCAGATTCCCGAGTATGCCCAGCTGCGTCAGGAGCACCCGGAGCTCTTCTGGGCCGAGGGACAGCAGCCGCAGCAGCCCACCTACGTCTAGTGGCGCAAAATGTGTTTAAACAAATGTTTTTGATGTAAAATATATCATATATGGAGAAGTAAAACATCTGTATTCATGCAATAAGGTCCTAAAGACTCACACGAGTCGTCGATGAAGTTAAAGAACGGAATGGAATGTAAT